AGGATGAAGGGATCAAACGACATTTTTCTGTGCGTAAAACACCACAACAAAATGGAGTAGCAGAACGCATGAATCGCACATTGGTAGAGAAAGTCCGATGTATGCTATCACATTCAGGACTAAGCAAAGTGTTCTGGGGCGAGGCATTAAGCTATGCTCGTCATATTGTTAACCGGTTACCTTCAGCAGCATTAAATGGAAGAACCCCTTTAGAGGTATGGTCAGGCTCTCCTGCAAATGATTATGACTCTATGCGTATATTTGGTTGCTCAGCATATTATCATGTTACTGAGTCCAAGCTAGATCCTAGAGCCAAGAAAGCTATATTTTTGGGCTTTAGTGGAGGAGTAAAAGGTTACAGACTCTGGTGTTCTGAATCAAAGAAAGTGATTTTGAGTAGAGATGTCACTTTTGATGAGTCTGGCATGTTACAACAAGAGAAATCACAGGAGAAGGAAAAACAGTCTGGTGATGCACAACAGGTGGAGTTGGAGACTTCAGTCATTCCTATAAAGACTGTTCAGAAAATCTCTACTGAAGGAGATTCAGATGAAAGTTCAGATGAAGAGGATGCAACAACTTCAGCAACCACACAACAAGAATCCATTGCAACGAGTAAACCGAAAAGAGTTATCAAGAAACCTGCTCGGTATTGTAACATGGTGGCTTATGCACTTCCGGTGATTGATGACGGAATCCCCTGCACCTACAAAGAAGCAGTACAGAGTGTAGAAAGTGCAAAATGGAAAGAGGCAATGGATGAAGAGATGAAATCTCTCCACAAGAATCAGACTTGGGATTTGGTACAACTCCCTAAGGAAAAGAAGACAATTGGTTGCAAGTGGGTATATGCTAAGAAGGAAGGTAATCCAGGAAAAGACAACATCCGTTTCAAAGCAAGATTGGTAGCAAAAGGCTATGCTCAGAAGGAGGGGATAGATTATAATGAGGTATTCTCCCCAGTTGTTAAGCATTCATCAATTCGTATTCTGCTAGCCTTGGTTGCACAGTTTGATTTGGAGTTAGCCCAACTTGATGTGAAAACTGCCTTCCTACATGGAGATTTGGAAGAGGAAATTTACATGTCTCAGCCAGATGGTTTCAAAGTCACTGGGAAAGAGAATTGGGCTTGTAAACTGAAGAAGTCACTGTATGGATTGAAACAATCTCCTCGCCAGTGGTATAAGCGATTTGACAAGTTCATGATAGAACATGGATACACACGGAGTCAGTTTGATCATTGTGTATATTTTCGCAAACTTCTTGATGGTTCTTTCATCTATTTGCTCTTATATGTGGATGATATGTTGATTGCATCAAAGAGCAAAGTGGAGATTGATAGACTGAAAGCTCAACTGAGAACTGAGTTTGAAATGAAGGACCTTGGAGAAGCTAAGAAGATTCTTGGCATGGAGATTCAGAGAGACAGAAGAAAAGGCACAATCTGTTTGACACAGACCCAATACTTGAAGAAAATTCTAAAGAGATTTGGGGTAGATGGTAAGACCAAGCCTGTAAGTACACCTTTAGCTTCTCATTTTAAGCTAAGTGCTTCAATGTCTCCACGCACAGAGGAAGAGCGCAAGCATATGGTTCAAATTCCGTATGCAAATGCAGTTGGTGCATTAATGTATGCAATGGTTTGTACGAGACCAGATATTTCACATGCAGTCAGTATGGTGAGCAGGTATATGCATGATCCGGGAAAGGGTCATTGGCAGGCAGTTAAGTGGATTCTACGGTACATTCATGGCACAACTGATATTGGTTTGAAGTTTGAGAGGGATGATAGACTCAAACAAAATTTAGTTGGTTATGTGGATTCGGACTATGCTGGTGACTTAGACAAGCGTCGTTCCACAACAGGCTATGTGTTTACACTTGCTAAAGGGCCTGTAAGTTGGAGGTCAACTTTACAATCAACAGTAGCTTTGTCAACAACTGAGGCAGAGTACATGGCAGTAACAGAAGCTTTCAAGGAAGCTATATGGTTACATGGGTTGATTGAAGATTTGGGAATTGTTCAAGAGCACGTGAATGTCCATTGTGATAGTCAAAGTGCTATTTGTCTTGCAAAGAATCAGGTTCATCATTCCCGCACCAAGCACATCGATGTTCGATTTCATTTTGTTCGAGAAATTGTGGATGAAGGAGATATTCTGCTACAGAAGATTGGTACCGCAGATAATCCAGCTGACATGCTCACAAAATGTGTCTCAGGGATCAAGTTCCAACATTGTTTGGACTTGGTCAACATCTCTCGGTGTTGAGCACCTTCAGGGTGCAGCGCCATATGACGCATTAGAGGCAGCATTGATTGATCACAAAGATTGGATGGAAAAATCTTGCCAAGGTGGAGATTTGTAGCAAATTGTCAACATTTTTTCTCAACCACCATCAACCACCCTCTCCTTTAACAACCACCATCAACCACTTCCAACCACCATTCAACCACCATCAACCACCCTCAACCAAGTTGCCAAGGCTCTCCTATAAATAGAGATAAAGAGAGAGCAATGTAATAAGTGTAGTGAAATTATGGTGAGAGCAAAAGGGTGAAAGTGTGGTGAGTGCAACTGTGAGAGTGAGAAAATACAGATTTGAGAGAAACACCGAGTGTAAGAGTGAAACACCCGGTTAAGTGGGATTGTACTGGGTGAAGTTGAGTGTTTGTATCATTCCTCCAATAATATACAATCTGCTGCCTCCGTGGACGTACCCGATTTTGGGGAACCACGTAAATCTGTTGTTTGTGTTTTATTTGTATTTGCTTTTGGTCCAGTATGCGCAACATGTACACCCACTAAAAAAATAGTGCCAAAATCATCTTCCAAAGTAGAAATGATAGTTGGTGCATTCCATACAGGTAGCTGTGCCAAAATCGTCTGATTTTGGACTTGAAGTTGATGCCATGATCAAGTCATGAAGAGGATATAGAGAAGATAGGCCTGGTGAGTGTTCAATCGCTATATCAATAGAAACTATGCTCTGTTCTGGCTATGGAATGTGCAGTATATGGACAGCAATCATGCAGCCAATTTTGATTTTTGTGGCCTGCTGGTTTTTGTTTCACATTCGTTGATATTATTACCAGGAGGTCAAAGGTTCGATGGTGGTGACTTGAATACAGAATTTTGATTATACTATTCTTTGTTTTGGCCGGTGGATCGATGCACTAGTGATCTGGACGGTAAGAAATTAACAATAATAATAATAATAATATTTTTGGTAAATAAACTAGTTTGAGTAAGAACTTAATCATGGGACATTAGTTATATATATATTCCATGATAAGAGTATTTTTTTATGAAAGAAAAAAAAACATAAAACTGATGTGTTTTTTTTTTTTCAAATTCATAAACCAACAAAGGACAGCTAAATCCCTTGGGATCAAATAAAAATTGGATTTAAACTTCTAATTGTTTGATTAAAAAACTGTGATGTCATATAAAGATAATTTTAAATAAAAATTTTATTAAATAAAGATAAAGATGATTTTTTTCTCAATGATCGAAATCTTCACGTTCTTTTTGTTGAATGTTTAATTAAAACTATAGGGTCAAGCACAACGTAAGTCAAGGTCTATAAAGCCAAGAGAAATTGTATTAACTGGTCCAAAGCTTCGGCCACTCTTTCTTACTTTCCAATTTCATAGATTGTCAAATCCTATATATATATATTAATTACACCATCTAATATATATAATTGAAAAAAATTTAACATAATAACCCATCCTTCCCTTTTCTATATATACTGTGGATTTGACTCAATGATGGATTCGTCGTGGCCCTCATTTATGGTTCGGAGTAAGTATCAACAAAGCAAAAACTGAAGAACATTTGAATCTCTCTCAAAAGAAGCTTAAAATTCAGAGTAAAATCAGTCAAAACGGAGAAAAAAAAACAGCCAATCCAATATTTGACACTAGAATTGGCTTGGAGATTGGCTTGGAGTTTAAACATGGAAGGCGGTTTTTTCTTCTTCTTTTGCGGCTTGCTTTGTTTGTAGGGGTGAGCATATATTCTCGACTCCTTTATTCTTTTGTTATGGTTATGCTTCGCCGGAGGTTTTTTTTTGGTGGGTAAGGAGGCTTAGAGGGGGGAGGTTTTGGCATTTCAATAAAAAAAATAAAAAAATTGAAAGTTTGTGTCATTCATAGATGTTAAACCTTGGATTATCGGTGGATTGACTAGAAAAATTATAATTCCAATTAAATTTTTAGCTGAACAGCAAAAAATATTAACATGAATTTGACTCACTCAAGCTTTAAATGGTGTGATTAATTTAATAAATCCGACTGAGTTAATAATAATAATACTATTATTTTAATATAATAATAAAATTAAGTTAACTGACCTGAAATTTAACTAATCATACAGTAATACAGGTTTTTTTGTCCCATGGCAATTTCCTTCAATCTTTTACGTGAGAAAACTAATAAAACAAACAAGACGTGCTCTGGTTGCTGCCATCAATAACCCTCCCGGTATCTAAGAGAGATTCACTTTCATTAAATATTAAGATAGCTTAAGACCTAGTTTGCTTGAGGTTTGTATTGTAATGTCTTAGCTAGCTGTATTCTCTCTTCTTCTTTTTTTTCAAATAAGCAAAACAATATTATTCTTTCTAACACTTGCACAGAGTTCTCCAAAGTGCAGTTCTTGAGGTATAAAACGAATGATCATCCAATGTTTATCAATCCACCTATGTGTACACAGATAATGTTAAATACAGTATTTCTACCGGAAATTCTTCACATATAAGATTTGCTCTAAAGATATGCACTAGTGGTTTACGAAATCACTCGAAATAATCAACGGTCAACAAAATGTTTATCCACTATTCACGATTGTTCTCTGCACCGTAAGACTTTTGAGCTTTGATTTTGATCAAAGCTTTGAAAACCAAGTTGCAGAAGATTCGTGTGCTCAAGGATGGAAATTCTGCCCGTTATTATGAGTCGTCTTTTGACTGATGCTAAAATCTTTTTCTTTACATGGCACAAGCAAGAGGGAAGCTGTGCCAATTAGCTTTCAGATTTCGCATGTATAAAAAGGAGCCTCTCGTTAAGTAGCTTTGTGTAGTCTAAGCATCCATTACATAAATTGTGTGTGTGTGTGTGTGTTCTAAGTTCTAACTTCAAAAACCAAGAGTTGTCTAGTTCCATAGAAAAAAACAAGCATGGTGGATGGGTTTAAAGAGAAGCAGATTGCTGAGCTCCAAGAAGCCTTTTGTCTATTTGACAAGGATGGAGATGGTACATATCAAACTCACTTGTCTATACTGTTCTGCTATGCCCTCCATCTCCTTTTGTTTCTCTTTGGATTTGTTACACACACACACACACACACTCTACTGACGTCTTGATGATTAATATTTGTTAGGGCGCATTACCTTTGAGGAAATGGCCACTGTAATCAAATCTCTTGACCATGGCGCCACAGAAGAAGAGTTACGTCATATGATCAGAGAGGCTGATGTCGATGGTAATGGAACCATAGAATTTGGGGAGTTCTGGAATCTAATGGCAAGGAAAATTAAGGTAAGCATTACCCAATAATACGAGTTGAGGTTAAAATATTTTTATTTTTTATAAAAAAATATATATCTAAATTTTTTCAATATATTTTTGTAGTTCAAAAAATATAACAAATCAAAAACTTTATATATATATATATATATATATATATATGTAATTAAATAAACTAAGAGTTATATGCGTTAATAAATAAATAAATAATCATTAATGACACTTAAAAACAAAACTTGAAAAACAGAAAAATAGATGTAAATTAAAATATTTAATTTTAAAAAATAGGATATTAAATTGATTGAATAAAAAAAAAAATTAATATGTAAGGCAACACGTATTAAAAAAATATTATTTAAAAATAATTTTTTTAAAAAAACATATTTTATTTATATAAAAGATAAAAACGAAGTCATAGATAAACAGAAAAACCTCTCTGAAAATTAAATGCATGACAAAAAAATCAATATTATTTAAAGAGGCCCTCTGAACAAAATTAAAAAAAAAAGAAGTTTTATCTATTTTTTTGTTTTTAGTTTTTTAACTAGTTACGTCACTTTATCTGTTTTCAATTGTATTTTTTAAAGTTATAATTTCACGGTAACCATGGCAGACCCAGGTGTGTGGGTTTGACATGGTTGCTAGATTTAGACGTATGGGCTTGGTATAGATGCTAGCAACAGAAGAAGCATCGCCTACTGGGACATACAATGTGTTGCGTGTTTTGCTTAAATTTTGGCCAATATGGTTAACGAAAAATCAAGACCTATGCTTTTTTGACCCAAGAACCTCTTTTACAACCCGTTTTTGACCCAAAACATCTTAAAAATCATGACAAATCCATTCATGGCCTCAGAAAACCACCCAAAAAATCAAACTCAACCCAAAATAAAAAATCAACGTGAGCTCAAATCTGTTTTTTCACAAACTTTGGAGGTATAAAAACACCTAAAATGCACTCCCTCTATTAAATGGAACAATTTGACATAAATACATCATTGAAATTCAATGACCCCTCCCTCTCTCCTCTCTCCTCTCTCAACCAAGGATAAAAAAATAACAAAAAAAAAAAAATGCTTTTATACCAAATGGAATTGAAAAAATTTTAAAGAACCACAATTGTATAATTTATGTGATTGTTTAAATTGGAGGACCAAAGTGAATGTTTTCAAAACTTATGATATGTCACCTATGTTTGCCATGTTTTTCATTTCGATCCTCTACCTTCCAATCTCACCATTCCATAAGAATTTGAAATCAATTGCTCTTTAAATAGAACTTGATCGTCCAAAAAAAAGTTTGAGGATCAAACTGAAAAAAAAAAACAAAACAAAATTTTGCACAGTGACAAATGTATAATGAAAATCCAACGCAGTTTAGTATATAAGTTATATATAGTGGTCAATTTGTCAAACCTTGTCATGTCAATGGAAAGCACTTCACATGTTTTGATAATTAAAAACGTTATACATTTGTAGGAAAATGATGCTGATGATGAATTGAAAGAGGCCTTTAAAGTATTCGACAAGGATTAAGATGGTTACATTTCACATAATGATGTTTAATGATGTTTGATTTTCTTATATCTTTTCGTGGAAATAAAAAATAAAAAATTAGAAGTAAATGTTAGACTACTTGATCAATTTATTATTTCGTTTCCTAATCAAAATCATGTACAGTAAAAGTGAATTCCTCCATAAGATAATATTGCTTTAGAAGTATTTTAATCACAATCTAACTAATTATGCATTAAGTTATTTTAGGAGAGAGACAAGAGGGCAAAAGGTTGGGTATTTTTTTTATAATAATGAAGAAAAACCATAATACTATTAAGACTATGTTATAATGAAAGTTAAAGATAAGAACATGAAAGGAAGTTACATAGGAGATGACAACGAATAAGCTCTTACGAATAAGAACGCATCTTGATTGACCATGCCAAAATACCCTTAGGGCCTCTAATCAAATCATTCCCTAGATATAAAAAAATATTGTTTTATTTCTTTAACCAAAGTGCGAGATGATGAAAGATAAGTTGAAATAATGTATTACAATTAGGCCTGTTATCCTCGAAGATCAGTTTGTTTCTAACAATCCAAATTCCCCATTAAATTCCATATGATAGCATTGTGAAAGCGCTTTATTGGAACTTAACTTTGACCATATCACTTCATTACTAGATCACTTGTTCTATTGTATTCAGCATATCCCTAAAGGTGTCAGCCAACTTAGAAAGCATTGTTATAATTCTAAGTGTAGTAGTAATGAAGGAAAATATGATTAACATGCTCTATTTTTTCTTTATAAAAGGACAGACTGCCTAGTTGGGAGGTAGTAAATGTCGGCGTGCTAAAAAAGCCCCTGTACATACTCTGTCTTGGAGCAATATCCATGTGAATATTTCTATCCTTGGTAAGGCAAATCCTTTTCACAAAAGTGGAGTGAATGACAAACTTCCTGATAATAAAATCTTGTCGAGTAAATTGCTCTTAAACATGACATTATAAACCCTTTTATGTCACCTTCCTATATTTTTTTATCAGTTTTGATGGATTGCAATGTAACCTTCGCTAAAAATTGATTGAGATTATCTTATTACTCCCTTTTTGATGTCAATAATCATCTTTTCCAGTTAAGCCTCTAGTGCCATTGATCCATAGCATAATCCTTCATATCTATGAAGCAAGAAGATGGTGGAAAATAGTTGTCTTAACATCCCCCTTGTGAACCAGTTGTCTATCTAGAAATGAATATTGCTACCATTTCTAACCTTAAATTAGCATATATTCTTCAAAGTCTCTATCATTTAAGAGTCTAAGTTGATAATATAGTATAAGGTGTGCCATGTTTCTGAAAGGATACTTTAAGGATTAAGAGTTCATTCATAAAAATAGCTCGCTATTTTTTATTGATAAGTTATTGCTAACCTTTATGATTGTTGCCTCCTAGATATTAAAGCTATTTAAATAGTAGTGCCTTGTTTTTGCCTTATAATAAGCCACTACCTAGACCCTTTTATTTATACCCCTTACAATCACTTGAAGCAATCTTATATATTTATTTTACACCAAGATCCCCAGACCATAAGAACCTCCTCTTGATCGAATTAATAACTCCAACAATTTTTTTAGCATAAGAAAGATTGATTTGTAATATAAAAGTATGGAGTACAACATAATTTTAATATGACAAACTCTTATTGTCATGCTCAAGAATTTTCCTTTTCATAATCTTGGTCCTGTACAGAAGCTGTTTATTACAGGTTTCTAAGTGGAGAGTATTTTCAGGTTAGCCCTCAAAAAAAGTCCTAAATATTGAATAGGAAATGTGTTCCATTTGTGGTATATCATATTTGTCATTTATGTTGTAAACTCATTATTCTAAGTGGAGAGTATTTTCAGGTTAGCTCTCAAAAAAAGTCCTAAGTATTGAATAGGAAATGTGTTCCATTTGCAGTATATCATATTTGTCATTCATGTTGTAAACTCATCATCTAGGTTGATGCCAACTAGGAAACTTTTATGATAGTGTACCTTCAAACTTGAAACTTATTCAAACCACCTCAAAACCTTTTTAACATGAGTTATCAAAATTAAGTTAATTGGAATAAATACTAATGTATCATCAATATATTAAAAATGACTCAAATATATGTTATTTCCATAACTTATTCTTTTTAAATAATCTAGGATTACAAGTTTTCTTGAATATAATTGATAACTCTTCCACAACCATGTAAAAAAAAAAGATGACAGTGGATTGCCTTAATGTAATCGATGTTCTACTCCAAACTTCATGCTTGGTGAACCACTAATAAGTATTTTTAATTTAGATTTCGCAATAAAGTCATGTATTAGAGAGATCTATCTCTTTCTAAAACTCATATATGACTTCACTTCCTTTAGATACTCCTAAACAACCACATTGAAAGCCATATGAAAGTTCACTTTTATAATAATACTATGTTGCCCCATTTTTCTTAACATTGTGTATAACTTCATTAGCTATTATAAAACCATCTAAGATCTTTCTACCAGAGATATAAGCTATTTGATTAGCACTAATATGTTGGATGTAGTTTACCAATAATTTTGTACATGCCATGTACTAAACTAATTGACCTATACTCTGAAAGTCTAATAGGTTGCTTTGATTTTAGAATTAAGGCCACATGAGAGAGTTGATGTCCTTTGGTAATTTCCTGATTTGAAAAAAATTCAAGCACCATATAAAAAATGTCAGCCCCTATCAAATGCCATGTTTTCTTATAGAAAATGAAAGTGAAGTAGTAAGACTTGGGGCTTTTGTTCCATCAATATTGGTACCTGTGTCAACAACACTCATGCTTTTCAAATTGTAAAATATAGACTTTGTATCATCAACTTCTCCATTCAGCATAAGATTAAAGGTCTTCTTGTTATATAATTATACTCATTGGCTTCAAATACTGGACAATACAGAGGATCAAACTCCTTAACATTAATATGGTGATCAATTCTCCTCAATTTTAGAGTTGTCAATTCCTTAATGATCTATCGTGCCTTATGCCAATTAAGAAATTAACATGTCCAAGACTTTTATAATGATAACTGATATTGTCAAAACCAATAACCCTATTGTATGACGACATAACTTTGTTGATAATAATGATAATGATCAACATTTGATAATCTCTTCCAGTGTGTCTTAAGATTTTCTATGTTTCCACTTTTGTCATGCGGTTGAGGCATATAATGATTAATTTAGGAGAGCAGCCGACAAACAAAGAATTAGAGCTGATAATTCTAGTAGCTAACCTGGACGAAAATGGTCAAGTTAATTATGAGGAATTTATGAGAATGATGCTAGCAGTTTGAGCAAACATTATCTCCAGCCTGCCTACTTATTAGTGCTAAATTAATGATACGATTCCACATACAAAATGAAATAGTTCTCAAATGGATTAAACGGATGCATGATGTGCATAATTGTATACATGCAAAAATCAAGATTTTAAGAAATGATATTGTAATTCATAAGATGTGATTAGTGATTTTAAACAAGATTTTGTTTTATACATGTTCTAAAATATTATTTAAACGTTTATTAATTGATTGATTAGATCTATAGAAGTCGTATCAAGTCTCATATTATATAATAAAGATTATCTTTCTTTATACATGTTCTAAAATATTATTTAAACATTTATTAATTGACTGATTAGATCTATATAAGTCGTATCAAGTCTCATATTTTAATTTCAATCTCAGAATATCTTTGTTATATTTTCCTAAATTTAAAACTTGGAGAAATATTAAATTTTAACACATAGATCTTCCTTTTTGAACAAAATATCCAATACCTAATTTGGAATAAGATATAAAATTAAAATATTTTGACTTCTATAATGGCAATCATCCTTTCTTTTTTTCTTTTTCTATTTTTTATTTTATTCAAGTTAATAACTTTTTTTTTTCCTTATGAAGAGGGGGAGTTTTATTTATGAGACCTTTAATTCATTTATTTAGTGAGGAAATATCTCATCTATAATATTAAGGGATTGCTTCTTTTTTTTTTATGTTTGATCAACAACTAAAAAAACTAATTCATCTCAATATATCATGATGATATCGTAAATGCATACTAAAAATTATTTGTAAATAAACCTAGTCAAATAATTTGTAATAAATAATCAATTTTTATATATAAAAAGGAAACTTTGAAAGGGAAAAAAAACGATTACTTGCATGATCAATATTGTTTGTAGTACTATTTAATTATTTTTAAACTATAAAATTAATTTATTATTTGCAATAAATTACATGGCCTAAGTTATAACTAACTCAAATATTAAATACTAGTAATATAGTTTTAATTGAGAAAAATTATAAGTTAAGATTGTTTTATTACTCAAATATGAAAATTGAATCTTTGAGAATAAAAAATTCTAAACCAATAAAATTAAATGAATATCCAAAATATGTCAACCTAGAAATTGAAATCAAGTTTCTAAAAAAGAAAGGACCATAAAAAAATATTTATAAGGTCTAAAAAATTTCATTTAGCAAAATAAATTTAAAAATTTTTTATACCTGCATCTTTAACATGTGAACGCATCTCATTTTTTGAATAAATATCCTTTTCACTTTCTATAGGTTTCGAGCTTAAAAAATCATGCATAACATCAACAATATGAATGGTAGTGCTCGAATCAATCCATAAAATATTTTGTTAAGAGTGTATAAAGTTATATTCATAAACACAAGATAGTTATATTACATTTATTTGTAAGGAAGCTCTTGTATTTCTAGTAATCTTTCTTCATGTATCTCTTTTTTTTTAAAAAAAAACATGTAACTATGTTTAGGTCCCTTTTATGACACTTTTCCTCTTTTTTTCCATTGCACATTGTAACTATGTTTAGGTTCCTTTTGACACTTTTCCTTTTTTTTTTTTTCCATTGCACATTATCACTACCTTTATCCTTCTTATATTGCCTCTCTTTTTTCTTTTTCTTTTTACTTTATGAGTGACAAAGGTAGCAATCTCTTAATTTTCATGCTTTAACCTCTCCTTTTCTTGCAAACATATAGTTAAAAGTTTATTCACCGACCATTATCTATATGTATTATAAAAAGTTTTATGTTTCATATTCTTTATGGAAAAAGTTGAGTATTAAATGGAAAAGAAAAGAACCTAAAATGTAAATCTCTAAAGTTGTAAGTTGAGCTGCAATGTTCTTTATTTTTATCATGTTCATACATGCTTCTTGATTGGTAAGGTTTCATCACAAATAACTTGTTTATCATAATACTGGCTAATTTCTTGTCAAAACTAATAAATTTCTTTTTAGTAGCTTTTATATAGTCTTTTATTTTATCACACTTTAGAATCAAGCTTTTAATGTTTTTATTAGTATGTGACTTTATAAACATTAAACTTAAATAGTTGGATCGTTTTTATTATTTATAGACTATTTTATTCATAGTGAAAGTTGATTATGCTGCACATGTAACTCAGTTACATGGAATGCAAGGTCTACACTAAAAAATTTTGACCATTCAAAATAGGAATACAAGAATTATTATTTATAAAAGAATTAATAGCATAAGAAATAACCAATGATATAATCATTATTTTGAATCAATACTCTAATATGAATTAATCAATGTCATATTTAATAGTAAAATCTAAATTTTTATGTCAATATACTTTATCTTCTATGTCATTTAGTTTACCCTATGATGCAATTAAAACCCATAATCTAAGTCTCAAGGTGGATCAACCACCGAAATGATTTTAAAAACTATACTCTCCGTGCCACGCATTCCTACAAGATATTCCATGTCAATTAATGTGACTCGTGAGTCCTTTTCGAAGCAACTTTTGAGGTTACTCCCGTGGTATATTCCAGTCCCAACTTGTGGATGCTACGTTAACGCGTGAAGACTGGTTTGAGTTTAGAATATAAACAAACTTCTCATGAAAAGGTTGAAAAAAACTTTGAGAAATCCTTTGCTTGCCTTGGAGGTTACTCCCGTGGTATATTCCATCTGGTTTATTAGGAACCTGGGAATCACCTTCTGCTTTTTAATGTTCCTTCTCTCTCTCCCTCTCTCTCTTTAAGGAATCACCTTCTACTTTTTAATCACACTTGAATTTATCCTTTCCTCTCTCCCTTAGGCTATGCTTTTATTACATGAAAAACTCGAGTACAGATTCGATGTCTAGCCTTTCAAGAACACTAGGGATCTCATGGTTTTGAAAAACGTGGACTATTTTTTATTTTGTTTCTTTGAAGACTGAGAGTCAGGAGCTTGAAGCTCAATCATGGTTGGTGGTTTTAATAGGTTGCAATGCTCTAGTCAATATGTCAGTCACAGTCTTATTGTATCTTGTAAGAACATTGCCCTTCCATGCCATGCAGCAGTCTAAGATTAGGGTGCTGATAGGAGTGATCAAGAGATCATCGATATTGAATTGCAATTGTCATAAATGGAAAAACAGTAGCACAACAGTAAAATGGAAAGTTTCTCTTGCGTGGTCAACAGCCAGCCAAATTATTCAATCCACATTTGAACTCGAAAAACTTAACATAAAAGAGGAAAACATCAATGCAAAGTTATAATTTAGTAGCGTTAATCATCCAAGTCTTTGGAAAACATTTCATGGCAGAAGAGTTGCCGAAAGAATATTGCTAGCAAACAATCAATAAATATAATGCAATGTTACAGAGATTTAAAATCCAACCCTTTCTAATTAAGGTTGAAATGTAATGAATTCTGGGTCTTTATCAGCCACAGTAGTCTCGTCGCTATCTTGCTAAATGATTCGTTTGCCAAGACGACGTACTGCCATGTTGAGTCAGATAAAACACTTTTCTTGTAGATTTTTGGCAGCCCCATAAGCTTTTATTAGTTTTATTAAACTCAGATAGCAAGCAAAGGACCATGAAGGAAAAAGTAAGCTTACATTCTGGGATGCTTCCAACCAAGGGAAAGTGATCTAGACTGACTTAACAGAGGAGCTCTTTCTTTTTAGATATAATCATCGAGAATATATTGAAAATGCCATAAAATTAATAATGAAAGTAAAAAAAAAAAAAAAGACTTAATAGAAGAGTTACTTAATATAAAAGAAATTGCTTTTCTTCCTTTCATGGAAGCACAAGACTTATGATAAGATATAAAAACTGAAGCTGACTCCATCGGAAGCTGCTCGGAATATAGCATAGAAATGACATTATTTGTTGCCAAAGTAAAATAACCACGAGGATGAAAATATATAAAAGAAACAGAGAGGACAAGTTCCGAGTTTTTCTTGTTTTGAAATAATATAGATTTATTTTAAATTTGTTATAGAAATAAATTAATTTTATATCTATATCTTTAATTATCCCTCTAATCAAAAACACATTTCTATTCATTCCATCTTGGTAGAGCAATTCAAAGTTATGCGAGGAAGGAGCAACAGAAAAAAAATCAATAATATTCATTAAAAATATATTTGATTTATACTTTATTAAATATCATTTAATTTTAACTTGATTTTCAAATAAGATTATAATTTTTTTTATATAATATTAGCAATTTCTTTTATAACGCCTTTCAATATTTTTTAAAAATTTTATTTGATGACTTTCCTACACATGTTTATTTTTATTATTAATTAATTAAATTAAAAAAATTAAAAAAACAAAATTATTAAATTCAACTACATATTTATATTTATAATCCTGATCATGAATTTAATAAACCATACCAATTCAAAATATTTTTGTCTCAATGTAAAAAAAGAATTAAAAACTAACATTGGGGCTTGTTAGTAAAGACAAAGAAGTTTTGATTTTTTTCTTTATTGCTTTTAATTTTAATTAAATAAAGAACATAGAATGAAAAATATTATTTTTTCTAGAAAAATTATAATAGAAAATTATTGTGTTTCAAGTGGATTTAAATTATTGTCATTCTTACAAAAATAAATTATTACAATATAATTAAATTAAAATATATATATTAAAGAGCTTCTTCCTTGGGCTTTTCTACTTAGTGTTAACATTAATAATCTTTTTTTAACATTTATTAACATATAATTCTTAATTTATTTTATTAAAAATATATATCAAAGCTTCAATTTATAATTAAAAAAATAATACTAAAACACTCAATGACAGACAGTCCACGCATTTGATATATATATATATATATAAACATTTTATTCGACCAGCAGTAGGTGGGAAGTATCTATCAATAACAAACCAAATCAAAGATCAGGCACCTAGTGTGAGTATATTTCAAGATTACTAGTGCAATTTTAAGGTAGATATAATATCTCACTGGAGAGGAAAAGGAAAGTATATTGAATTAGTGTTAGAGAATAATATAATTATATTTTAAATGAAATTCAGATATAATATAATTATACTATTCTTTGATATGGATTCAAAGAAAATTAGTGTAAAGGAGTGTTTGGGTGTGAGGGGTGATAGTTTTTTTTTTAAAGTACCATCCTTTTAAAATACACACCACACTTTTTAAAAACAAAAAATATATATTTTTAATAAAAAATATGATAACTTTTAGAAAAAAACCAACCACATTCCCACCCAATCACCCTCTAAAACTGGCCGACAGAAGGGACGTATTTTTGCTCTTCTTCTATAAAGCAAAGCAACCTTCAGTTTCATCTTTCTAAACCTTGAGGTCTGTTCCTTCACAAACAAAAACCCTTAAAGACTGTTTGGAAGCACACTTGACTCTTTTTCAACCTGTTGACTTTCCTAATTAGTCATCACCATGACTATGAGGTCTCGAAAAACTAGCGACAAAATCACTCTTGATCAAGAAGATCTGATACCAGAGCCAAAACGCAATCAGAGAAGGTGGAGGATTGCTTACACGGCCATATATTTCACAAGGCTTCTTGTTTCTTTATCTAAGAAAGCTCTTGTACGCCAGGCTAAGATCCTGCGCTCCCTATCCTATGTTGCTGTTGATGTTCATGATGATGCGTTCCAGCATGAGAATAAACTTGTTTCTTTGATTAATGTCGATCAGAGAACCCTCAATGATATTATAAAAGAAAAGAACCTTGAATCTTTGAACCAACTGGGAGGAGTTATACAAGTTGCCACAATTCTAGAGACTGATGTGAAGGATGGTACAAGGGAGGCTGATGCTGCGTTTAGAAGGGATGTTTTTGGTGCAAATAGGTTTAATAAACCTCCTTCAAAAAGCTTTCTAAGCTTTGTTCTCGAAGCATGCAAGGACCCGACCATTATCATTCTTTTGGTCTGCGCTATTATGTCCTTGGTATTCGGTATCAAACAGCATGGCCTGAAAAATGGGTGGTATGATGGAGGAAGCATTGTTGTCGCAGTTGTTCTAGTTATTTCTGTCTCTGCTATCAGCAACTTCAAGCAATCCAAACAATTTGAGAAGTTATCTGATGAGAGCCGCGACATAACTGTGCAAGTAGTGAGAGATGGGAGGCACAATCATATATCTATTTTTGATGTGGTGGTGGGTGATGTGGTGTCTTTGAAGATTGGAGACCAAATACCTGCTGATGGGTTATTCTTGCATGGGTATTCTTTGAAGGTGGACGAATCTAGCATGACCGGAGAAAGCGACCACGTTGAGGTGGATGGAAGCGAAAACCCTTTCTTGCTCTCTGGTACAAAGGTGACTGATGGCTTTGGCTTCATGCTTGTCACATCTGTTGGCATGAATACAGCATGGGGAGAGATGATGAGTTCGATAAGTCGTGATTTGGATGAGCAAACTCCATTGCAAGCTCGCCTCAACAAGCTCACTTCTTATATTGGGAAGGTTGGATTGACAGTTGCCATTCTTGTGCTTGCCGTTATGATGATAAGGTACTTCACAGGAAATACTAGAGATGATAATGGTCGGAAAGAATACTATGGGAGCAAAACAAAGGTCAGTGATGTACTGGATTCAGTTGTGAACATTATTGCTGCAGCAGTGACCATTGTCGTGGTGGCAATTCCGGAAGGTCTCCCTCTAGCTGTAACCCTAACTCTGGCTTACTCTATGAAAAAAATGATGAAAGATAACGCCATGGTCCGTAAGCTCTCTGCTTGTGAAACAATGGGTTCAGCCACAACAATCTGCACAGACAAAACAGGCACTCTAACCTTGAACCAAATGAAGGTTACAGAGTTTTGTCTTGGGAAAGAAACAATTGAGGATAAAACTGAAATAGAATCAGAGGTCTATCAGTTACTACAAGAAGGGGTTGCTTTAAATACAACAGGTACTGTCAACAAATCTCATGCTAACTTAGTTCCTGAAATTATTGGCAGTCCGACTGAAAAAGCAATACTTTCTTGGGCTGTAATGGATTTGGGCATGGATATCAACGAAACAAAGGGAAAATGTGAAATAATACATGTAGAAACCTTTAATTCCGAGAAAAAGAGAAGTGGAGTGTTGATGAGGAAAAACAGTGAAAAGGCAATTCACACACACTGGAAGGGAGCTGCCGAGATGATACTAGCCATGTGTTCAAATTATTATGTCAGAAATGGAGAGCTAAGAGACTTGAATGAGGAAGAAAAGGTGCAATTTGGGGCCATAATTCAGAGTATGGCAGCCAAAAGCCTAAGATGCATTGCTTTTGCCCACAAAAAGGTTGTAGAAGAGAATAGCCAGGTGTCCGCGAAGCTTGAAGAAAATGGAATGACCTTTATGGGGCTTGTGGGTTTGAAAGACCCGTGCCGAACAGGAGTCAAAACAGCAGTGGAATCATGTAAGATTGCCGGAGTGAATGTTAAAATGATTACTGGTGACAATATGCATACAGCAAGAGCTATAGCTATTGAATGCGGGATTCTCAATCCTGAAACAGACATGAAGAATGGTGCTGTAGTAGAAGGTGTACAATTCAGAAACTACTCACCTGAAGAGAGGATGGCCAAGATTGATAATATCCAGGTTATGGCAAGATCATCCCCATTCGACAAGCTTCTCATGGTACAGTGCTTAAAGGAGAAAGGTCACGTGGTAGCAGTCACTGGTGATGGCACAAATGATGCTCCCGCTCTAAAGGAAGCAGATATTGGGCTCTCCATGGGAATTCAAGGGACCGAGGTGGCAAAGGAGAGCTCAGACATTGTCATATTGGATGATAACTTCACCTCTGTGGTGACTGTATTGAGGTGGGGAAGGTGTGTCTACAACAATATTCAGAAGTTCATTCAATTTCAGCTCACTGTCAATGTTGCTGCCCTTGTCATCAACTTCGTTGCAGCTGTTTCTTCTGGAAAAGTCCCTCTGACTGCAGTCCAGCTGCTGTGGGTTAATCTCATAATGGACACCTTGGGAGCACTAGCCTTGGCCACTGAACAACCCACGAATGATCTCATGGCAAGGCCACCTGTGGGTCGATCAGAGCCACTTATCACCAAAATCATGTGGAGGAACCTCCTTGCTCAGGCCCTGTATCAGGTCACCATCTTACTGACTCTACAGTTCAAGGGAAAAGCGATATTTGGTGTGGACGAGGAAGTTAAGAATACCCTCATCTTCAACACTTTTGTCCTCTGCCAAGTGTTTAATGAGTTCAATGCACGGAAGTTGGAGAAGATGAACATATTCAAGGGAATACATAAGAACAAGTTATTCTTAGCAATCATAGGAATTACCATAATTCTTCAAGTGCTGATGGTAGAGCTTCTCAAGAAGTTTGCCAGCACTGAAAGGTTGAATTGGCAGCAGTGGGGTGCCTGCATTGCCATTGCAGTTCTTTCTTGGCCAATTGGTTGTCTAGTGAAGTGCATTCCAGTTTCTTGAAAGCGGACACAAAGCCACTAATCAGTTATCCTTCTACTTTATTCATTTTGCTTTTCCTGCACATGGTAGATTTAACAAGGAATGTTTAGATAATTATGATTTTGAAAGCTTTCAATTGTTAGCTGTTTCTTTTGGAGTATATATGGAATTACGTAAATCTAATTACTGCAGTGGGGTGCTTGCATTGCCATTGCAGTTCTGTCTTGGCCAATTGGCTGGCTTGTGAAATGCATTCCAGTTTCTTCCAAGCAGCCTATGGATCATAAGAACACATAGCCACTAATCAGTTATCATTGTTTCTTCTTCTTTTTCTCCTGTTCAGGGTAGATCGGACAAGGAAATTTTAGATAATTTTAGATTTCAAAGCATGTTGTTTGCAGTTTCTTTTAGAGAATATATGGAATCAAATTTGTGCAAATATGGAATCTAGTAACTGCATTTTATATCTTTATGTTCTGAATGAAATCCCCAACTGATGAGAAAGTTCTTGTTCTTATTTCACTATCGTATCTTATTGCTTCTATTTGCAATTAAATGTAGGCAACAATAGAAGATCAGATAAGAAGAACTAGGAGGAATTTCCATCATTGAGGTTGCAGTGTAAGGTCAACCATGGACCTTGCACCCAAGGCTATGTTTGTGACGAACAACTATTCAGTCATTTAAACCAAGCTACTTTCGAAATGGGAACTCACAGATTTACTTGCAGGGACCCAAAAGATTCTAATACATGGATTGTGATAATTCTATGTAAAAAGCAATTACTCTCAATTTCAAAGGTTTAAGAACTTAGAAGTCATTGCTTGTATAACAGAGAATAACTAATGTAGTATAATTGTACTGAAGCACAATTCACATAGAAGGTTACTGAACAAATATCATGAGTACCTAGTAGCTAACATGATAATTGAGCATATGACAAAGTGTAAGATAGTTCCCTTACGTGTATCGGTGTATGCATGCACTAAAACACACAGACACAACTTAAGTGTGTGCTCTCGCATGCACTCAAACACAGACACAACTTAAGAGTGTGCCTGTGCACGCACAGGTGGGTGCACTTATGTAATGGTTCCCGGATTCGAGTGTGGGGGAGGCCAAAACTCAGCAGAAAATAATTTTTTAAAATAAACATATCCTAATGCTCCAAATAATCTTAGCACTTCACTTAAACACGCTGACCACAATAACAGAAACAAACCATTTCTTAAAGGGGATGGCGGAAACATAAATATACCTGATGCCTCTATATTCACTAACCATAAGATCATTTGACGGGTCACAAAGAAAAGTTTCAAGTTAGGGACACTAGAAAAGAAAAGCAAAACATGGGCCTCTTACAGTTAAACCCAAAGCTAAAATATGATTTAAGTTTTTTCATTCAACTTTGGGGGGGGGCAGGAAGAAACCTAATGAAGAGTTGGGGTTGAACATCAAGGATCAGAATTCTCAACAAAATAATTAAAATATAGAACGGAGTTGAGAGTCAGAAGACCAGAGAAACTGAACGTATGAAAAGTTGCATCAAATGGTAAACTAAAATGTAAAGTTTTAGAGAGATGGCAAACAGGGTCCGGTGGAATTAAAATTTGTTTTTTGATATTGAAGATATTCAATTCAAACCAACGACCTTTGCTCCAAAAGTTTCAGCTATCATAATTCTAATTTCGTTGTTCGTCTGGTATGTATGGCTGTGTGTGCACGCACACATGAGCATACATGAGTGCATGTAAGAATATGAATGATATGTAACCAAAAATGAAGGATATGCTTGGCACTTCAGTTCTTCGACTTAGTCCTCGCGCAACTCCCATGCTACACAGAATCTCTCTCCAAAATAAATGGAGCCACAGCAGAAAACGGACCAAAAAGGAAACCAATTGCCATAGCATATTAAACAAGGAAAACAACAATAGAAACTTCAAATCTGAAAAATATTATGTTCTGCAGTGGAGGACATCATAAAAATATTCTAGGTGAATGCATGAAAAAATAAATGTCAACATGGCCTCATTCTAAGACAGTATCTTTAAGCATATTTGTTAATTTAAAATAAATGTCAACATGGCCTCATTCTAAGACAGTATCTTTAAGCATATATGTTAATTTTATTATCTATCAATATTACAACTTTTCAGTTTAAACATCCCTCATGCTCAAGAATTTATTTTCTATAGGAGTCCAGACTTGATTTAAAATAAATCTATCTGCCCAACATGCCTCACCATGAACTCTCATTTCCAAATTTTCTGCTAAGTTTGATGGCTTGGCACAATACCAATCACCAGATGCATTTTATAACAAGGTGTCTCCATCCACCAAAAGACATGATAAAACTGAGCAATTTCGGAATGATGGTGAGTTCCACTCCATCACTACATCTTCGAGGAGTTAAAACCTCATGATAGTTCCTATGTATGGGCCTCTGTAAATTGTCATTTTGATTTCAAGTGATAAGGGTACATGGAAATTTGGAGTCAAACAGTCCTTATTTTTAAACTATGCTTTTGTTCTTTTCATTTGTACATTGTTTCTCATACAATTGAATACACATGCTGTCTTGATATGCTATTCTAAGCATATTTTACTAACTAACTTGTGGGGAAAACTGCTTTACCAAGACCTCCATCGGAAAACATTATTCAATTCCCATAGGCAGTTGGCTCAACAAACATATTAATACAAACATGAAGTAAAATATTCCAAACACAAAAATGTTGTCGATATTGATGACAGAGCACAAGCCAAGCAAAATGAAAACTAGAAATTCCTGTGATCCTCTTCATTGAACCCTCATAGCCATATCAAAATCACTTCTTGAATTGCCCCTTCAAACATAGCAATAAAAAAGTAGAAACCCGCCATTGAAATCAAATAGGAAAGCTAATGCCATACAGTATCCCATTTCACATTTCTGGTCATCTTCATATGTTATCAGAACAAGCAAAACAAATACCACTTACAAACTCTACTTACGCAAAATTCCCATGTTTATTATTCAATTTAAAATCTTCTTCTTTCTAAGCAACAGCAAATGGAAAGAGCAAGGTGTTATAGGAGTTGTGTGGGCACAGAAAATAGCACTTGAAACAGTAAAAAGAAAAAAAGAAACAGAATTAAACAGGAAGGAAAGAGTACCTTGTTGTCTTGACAGGATTGCCACACCACCACAAGCTCTTGTTGGTTAGGAGATGAATGTCTCTCAAGTCTTGACCCCATTTTGAGATGGAACCCATCAAAGATTGACAAAGCTCCAAACTTCATCTGTGTACGGTTTTAGGAGGGGCAATTTCTTCTTGAGCGCTGTAAGGACAGTGGCAGAGGTTTTAGCAATTCCTTCACCGCACCCGCCGGTGGCCCTCAACTTTATATTTTGATCAAAATTCAACTTGCTTAAAATTTATAAAAATTACTTTAATTAAAAAAACAAAAAGGTAAAACAAGATATGAATTTTGGAGAGAGATTTCATGAATTCGGTTGCCATGGAATCTTAATGATGTTCATGGAGTAAGTATGAGATAAACTGAAAAATATTTTTTTTATTTTTTCTCTTTTATTTAAATTAACGTGGAAATTCAATATGAGTTGTATCAGAGTGGTCGATTCTCCTGAGGTGTTTATGCCATTAGTTCTGGGCTTTGGTGGGCTGGGAAAATTGCGCTGTGTTATCACATTGGGCCAAAAGCCTAATCTAAAATGGGCTAATGTTAAGCTTTCCAGACTTTTTGCTGAGCTAGGCTAATTTTACATAGCAATCACTTTTATGGCCCAAAAACAAAACCCGTAAAGAGTTAGCACCATAGTGCTTCTCTAGTGACAAAGCACCCCTTACTGTTAGCATGAAAGAAATTAGGATTTAAAATATTTAATTTTTAATTAAATCAAATAAAACAATGACCAGATGAAACCTTGTTGATCTTATTCAATCTTAAGTGATTTAGTTGGATTTTGATCAAAATTATTGAATAGATTAATATTAAAAAAATATATATTATTTAATTTTATTAAAAAAATTATGGTAGTGATATTTCATTAATTTAGGTTTGTTTTTATGCCAAGATTGATAACTATTTAATTAGCCATTAATAATAAAATAAAAGATTGATACAAGGGTGAATATATGTAACTAGTATCAATTTGCTCTCATAATTTTATTTGTATTAAGAAATTGTTTGGGAACAAGGTGCAAACTATATTTCACTAAAATTTAATTATTTATATTTATTAAAAATTAATTTTTTATATAAAAATATTTTAATAAACTACCACAACCATAATTCCAAATATTCACTAAATATCTTAAACTAACTTTAGTTTTTCTTTAGTCAATGACAAGCATGTACTAAATATCTTAAACTAACTTTAGTTTTCCTCTTTTAGTCAATGACAAGCATGTATCTCCATATATATATATATATGAACCATAGGTTTCAAGGAGCATAACGTGATGATAAAAAATTTGAGATTTGTACAATAAATATCGAGTTTGAGTAAGAATATACATCTCTTGTAAGAATTTAGAATAGCTACAGTTTTATTTGCTCATCTAAGCCCACAAAATACACTTTCAGGAAAATAAGATTTCCTTGAATTCAATATATATATATATATATATGAACCATAGATTGCATTAATTAACAGGACATCAATTGGCAAATAATAGATTAATGGGCGAAAAGATATATACAAAAGGGCAGCTTAAAATGAGTGTTCTTTTGTTGTTCTTGTGTAGAAAAATGAGTCTTCTTCTTTAATGTAGGCATATACGAAGTATTAAAACTCAAAATAAACTAATTAATTGCAAAGAGCAGATTATCGTTTCGTTATTTGCACTCATTAATTTTCTGACTGTCATCATTCTTTACTTTTTTGCAGTACATGAAACAACCAGGAAGTGTTGTCATTGTCGCAATTTCTTTTAATGCTGGGAAACACAATCGATGACCCTAAAATATGAGTGGTAAAATATATAGGAACGCCAAAAATAAATAAAAAAAGATAAATGTATGTAGTGCCTCCTGCTGCTGCTGCTGCAGCAGCAGCAGCAGCAGCAGCACAGATTTTACAAAAAATTAATACGATAAATGGAACTAAATTAAATAGCAGTCACGGAGGATAAACATGCGAAACTATCCACTGGTTCTAATATTTTCATCTATAAACTGTTAAGAAGGGTTAAGTTGCATAATTCACATGAGCTGTGTACCAATATATAGTTAGCTGTCTGTGGGTTTCTTTGAGCCACAGTAACTCATCCTCTACGGTTTTTAATTTAATCAATGAAGACCTATCTTGTTTTTTTTCAAGAAAAGGTTCCATCGTAGTGGTCCACAAGAAACAGAAATCCATCCATAAGCAATCCAAATATAGTACTTGAGATCAGGTCTTCCTCAGCACCCTGTATAAACCCTTGCGGGATCGATATTGTAAAGAAGAGGAGCTGACCAGCCTAATTTCTATGTATAAGATCTTACACTGAGATTCCATTTCAGAGCATCAATTTTTTTTTTTTTTGAGAAAACAGTGAATCACCCACTTTACTTTTCTGGGTGCTAACTGATACATTAATGCCAAAAAGGGTCAGTACCCTAACTTAAGTAGTCAAATCCCTGAAATGAAGAAGTCAGTGCTACTTGTCAGCTTATGCTATGGCTTCTGACTTCAAAGTTCAAACCATGGCGTTGAAATTCTTTTGGCAGCCTAAACATATATGTTCCAAGCACAGACCAATGAGTAATTATAAGTAACTGAACAACAATGCCAGAGTCAAGAAGATATATGCCTGCTAGGGTTAGTAGAATTCATGTGAGAGTCCCATTAATGTCTTGTAACGAACTCTATCAAGGAACCCAGAAACCTTGTCTTCCAGTACCTGAAATTATGATGAAGACAAAAAGAAAATACATGAGAGGCCGATTGGTGACGTTTCTTTGACGTGGGTACTGTCTTTGGGAATCTTAGAAAGGTTTCATGGAGCCAATCCAGATCGAGCTTCTAGACAAAGACAAAACATGTAACATCCTACAACAACCAAAGTAAAGAGAAACACCGTAAATTAAATTATATTGAGCATTAATGTCGTGCAACTCACAAGCAGGCTCCTTCTGCATATGTTGTCACCATACTTTTGTAAATGGATCTGCACTACTAGAGATTAATTAAATGGCCGTCACTTAATCCAATGCTTGAGCTACATGTATACTTTATTAGCATTGCCCCTTGAGTAAAAGCCCTCCACATCCAATGAGAATCGCTCAAACAAAAAAACTGAAACAGTTAAATAATTAAGGTCGAATACAGAATTTAAAATAGTACTAGACACATCTACATGATCATGAGTAAAGGGAAAAAGAATCGTCAAAAGAGATAAAGGATATCATGAATTAATTTAAAGGATATCATGAATTAATTTACACAATTTAATAGACTAATCAGCAAACTTATGTTCTTCCCCTAAATTGCTACAAGAACAAATCTCACAAGACAGGCATGCATTATATGTCTATACACGTAAGAGAGATCCAAACAGATAGAGGAAGAAAATATATAGTCTCACATATATATGAGCCAGTGCCACGGAGTTCATGGCGTAGAGAAAATTGACCATATTCTAACTTCCTCTAAGAAACTTGTGCTTCATCGATCTCAAACCCCAACAAGAAAAAAAGGGCAAAACTTATCTTAGGCAAGAACGACAAATCAGGACATTAATAATCACCACATATAATTGATGCTTTTCTGGAGAAGAAAAAGGATAGAGTACAGAAAATATGGACTTAACCAAGAAAGTGAGAGGCCGCTACTAGAAAGGAATAAACCATACGTGTTCTTTCATCCAATTCGACCTAAATTTATTAGAATTTGTCATCTAGTTTGACCTTGAGGTTTAGATAAAGGTCGGTTGGATGATAATGATTGCAATTAAGAACTAAACCACATAGAATTAATGGTTTGTAGAGCATGTTGCAGCTTGTTCTAATTACTTGATGTAACCACATTTGATACAAATTTATATTGCAATTATACATCCATCACAAATATCTACACAAAAATAAAAATTGGTTCTTTTTTTTTAATCTTTTACTAGAGAGTGTGAGAATCCAAAATGGGATCTTGGCTTGCATTCCAACGGGAGATCCCCTGGAGCACTAATGATATTATTCCATAGGGGTGTGCGTTTCAAGGTCCTACTCTAATATGTTTGGTTCTTTTTCCTAAGAAAAACATAAAAATAGGTAATTTGTGTTATCCTCTGCTAGATCTGAGGCTCTATATATTCATTTCTGATCAAGTTGCATTAATTTATGTCCAGCAGTGCACCATTAGATGGGCTGATCCTATATTTCATGCATCTGCAGTCATGCTACTGCTAGCCATTTTCATGATTATAATTTGTTGACTCCAGAACAAAACACACCCCATATTCTCCACCCACCCACACACACACACACACACACACACACACACACACACACACACACAGTCTTATTCTTCATATCGATGTACATCAGCTAGCTATATATGTGATCTTCCAGGCAATCAGTCTCAATTTGACAACTAGACATCAATCCGTATATGAGCGTTATCATCCCAAATACTTTGTACCAAGTTGTATTCTGGTTGTATTTTCAGGATGATCCTTGGCATAAAACATAATGTATCCAGTCCCAATACTCAACAAATAAAATAAGACTGTCTAGATGGAAGATTGAACATGCATGATTTTATTTTATTTTTAATAATAATCGAGTATATTAATTAAAAAGTAGTTATTTAAAAGATGAACTCTAAAGAGTTGAATAATTAATTACAGAAAAACAAAATAAGTGTTACAAATGAGATAAGAAAAAAACATAATAGGAAAAATCAACTAAATTAGTGACATGTATGTATTTATCTATATTTGAAATACCGTCTCTACTAAAAATGAAATCATAGCTGAAATTAGGTTCTTAGTGATGTGCAAGGGGATATGCATGACCAACAACACAGAAATTGACATGAACTGTAAAGGAGAAATATAAAGGCGCTCTCTTCCGATATGGAAAGGCACACTCTCTTCAAGGCACGGGAAGATAGATCTCAAAAGCACCAACCAAGTTAAGACAAAAATCTTGTCAGTTACAACCCTAAAAGCTCACATCTTGCTATTCTTTAACAAACTTTGACATGGATAAGAAGAACACAACACAGCAGTACGGCACAGAAACAACTTCAAGATACTACAAAAAAAAACATCCCATCATATATAAAAGAGCAGCTGGTGGTGGGAAAAAGAACAATAAGGGAACACATACACAGATCAGTGAAAATCAAACAGGAAAAAGAAGGCATACCTCATCTAGTGTTTTCTTCTCCAAGGCAGAACCCTAATGGGGTTCGCAGAAATAGATCAGTGGAGGAAATTAGGGTTCTGATTAGGGTTTTCCATGCTACCATCAATAGTTGAAACTGCCGCATGATCTAGTCTTTCCCGTATAGGAAAGCTTAGATCATGCTGGCAGCTTCAACTAATAGCGGTGCATGATTAAAGGCTATCGGTATTTGACTCGCTGTGATGCACTTGTCTAGGGCTTGAAGTTGCCTCTCCATCTTCTTATTCTTTCTTCTGGTTGAAGGCTTCATAGATGGGGAAAGATATGGGAGGGTGTAACCAGGGAGGAATATTTATAGAGGAGTTACAATATTTCTACCTCCTCCAGTCATATATTTTGGCTGTTTCCAATCCCATTATTAATTTCTTTAATTGTGACTTTTATGTGACCAGGAATCTAGCATGCCATGAACCATCATATATAAGACAAATTTTTTTCCTCTAATTTCAAGGATAAAGGTTTTTTTTTCTTTTGCAGATTTTTTGTATTCAAATCTTAGATACAACCCTCAAATATATATATATATATATATATATATATATATAATTTTTAATATTGGCTTAGAAACTCGAGGATATATATAGGCATGTAATTGAAAAAAAAATTATATATGAAAATGACGAGCAATATTAAATATAGCTAAGAATTACTGAGAGTATAAGTGTTGGCCTGATGGTGGAAGGGACTTGTTTATT